AAAATAGTATTTTATTCCACCCCCTCCCGCCCTCCCGCCCCCACCACCCCCAGTACACGTTTCCCCCTCGTTCCCACAGCAACGTTACAATCAGAAAAAAATAAGTTTCGGGGGGCAGGATTTGGGGGGGTTTGGGTAAAAACAGTCAAATCACAATAGGAATTTTTCAAAATAGGTTATTCCGCTTCGTCCTCGTCTTCTCCCTCATCCTCAGCTTCTCGTTTTCGCTTCTGACCCCTTTCTTCCTCTGGAAGAGAAAGGAGAAGACGTTTAGGTTAACACGATGTCGCCTCCGACTCCCCCCACCCGCTGGGAGAGCAGGGGCCGGACACCGAGGCCGCTTTGCCGTCCCTGGGAACCGAGGCAGGGGCTCTGCAAAGCCAGGGAGGCCCCTGTGGCCTCAGGAGGGCGTGTTCTGCCCGCTCGCGGGTCCTCAGGACCCACGCCATCTGCCGTCACTGGCGGGGCCAGCCCGCTACCGTGGGGAGTAAAAAGGCTGCCGTACCACCAGGCTCCTCTTCATCCTCCTCGTCGTCCACCTCCCCGTCGTTGTAACCCTCCTCGTCCTCCTAGGAGAGAAGATGGGACATCAATGTCCCAGACATTAAGAGGGACACGTCAGGACACTTTCCCCGATGCTGAGCTCAGAACAGGGGGTGGCCCCCGGGACCTGCTCGCTCAGGTAAGTCTAAAGCAGAGGTCCTTCTGCATCAGGGGCCCCTGTATGAGTCGGCGGAGAGCTTGAAACCCCTCCCCTGGAGAATACCGTGTCACACACCACCTTTGCAGACCACATGGTGGTGGTGAGGGGGGACGGGGGGACACAGGTGGGGGGGACACATTCCACCCCCAGGCTAAGGATCCTGACTCGAAGTCCCTGTAACTCAGGCAGCTCCCCAGTGCAGGCTCTTGGGGGGCCAAGCACCCCAGCTGACTCCCCGTCGTGGGGAGCAGGCCGTCCTGTCACCCATCCTCAGTCTAGTTCTGGCTTTGAGGGAAGACCCCAGTTTTAGAAATCCAGATTCCGTGGGTGAGTCCAGCCTCACCCCACCCTGCCCCCTCGCCGTCTTGCCAACCTGGATTCCCTGGAGGGGAGGATAAATCACGGCCCCCCGAGGACACCAACCCCAGCTCCCCGAGGCTCAGCAGGGGTGTGAGTCCCCCTTAGCACGGGACCCTGCTGCTCCTGCCGTCCCGGCTCACTGGGTCTCTGCATGCGAACTCTGTTCCTAAAGCAGCAGGCAGCCCACCGTTTACAAACAACTTGGCCATAGACTTCTTTTTGTCAAGGGAAATATCCCTTTATGATGTCACCTAAAAGCTCCTTAATCAGCCTGTTTGACAAGTGTGTGCGTGTGTGTACGTGCGTGTGTGTGAGTGTGCGAGTGCGTGAGCTCTCCTTTTCTGGAAGCTGAAAATCTGTAGATGGTCAATGAGATTACCCTCCCCCCCCCACACACAGAAACCCTGCACGCTGAGGCTCTGGTGACAGGAAGAGCAAGGTGAAAAATCCACGAGCCAGCGTGACCTTCTGCCCCATCCTGGGGGGACCTGTTTTGCCAAGTCTGGATTTTTAAAGTACACAACACTCCTCAGAGGTGAGCCTGGCAGCCCACACCTGGGAGAAGAGACCCCAGCCGCGGAACCTGGCAGGAACCGCGCCTGCCCTGCCTCTGCCCAGCGTGTGGGGGGCGTGTGGGGGGCGGCGGGCTGTGTGGCTGGGGCGTGTCTACACCCCTGGGGGAGGGAGAAGGGAAATGGGAGGAAGGCAGGACCTTGTCCACGCTGCTGTCATTTTAAGCCTCTCCAGGTCTAACTTTTGCGATTAACAGAGTTGGTTTAGAAATCTGAGAAGTCGGGGAAAACAACTCTTGTACAGAGAGACTCAGAACATCCGAGCACGAAGGCCAGCGCAGAGCCGGGACCTGGAGGAGGCGGGACAGTCTAAGAAGTGGTCAGACACTCTCTTGTCAGACACTGTCCTCAAGCATTTTACTTACAAATTAGTTTATCCTCTTAATGACCCAGTGAGTTGATCCCTATTTACCAGCCAGCTGTAAAGTGACACCTGTTGTGCAGACGCAGAAACAGGCTCAGAAGGTCAAGGAACTTGTCCAGGAGCCGCTCACGGTGGAGCTGGGGTCTGCCCCTCAGCTACACAACAGATCTCGTTAAGTGTGTGAGGGTAACAGCACTCCAGCTCCATGTGCAGGGACCCAGCAGTGCCTCATCCCATCAGCCACCAGCTCGAGGCCGTCTCTGACTGTCCCCAGCACCTGAGTGACCTCACACCTGAATGCCAAAAGGCACAAAGTGGGGACGTGGACCATGCCAGGACTAACTTTCACCTGGAAACGCGTGCCAGGCCTGCCCCAGCAGGTGAGTCCCCTCCTCACCTGCCTCCAGGATCCCCTTCCTCTTTCTCGGCCAGGGCCAGCTGCAATCTTGCTTCTCCCAGACCAGCCCAACATCAGGCCCTGAAACGGACTCGTTTCCCAGACTGCCGAAGCCGACTGCCGGGGCACTGAGCAGAGCTGACTCGGGCAGCAAAGCCAGGAAGGGGGACCGCAGGAGACGGCCCCCCAGCCCAGCCTCTTACCTCCTCCTCCCCACTCACATCCTCCTCTTCACCTTCCTCCTCCTCCTCCTCGTCCTCCTCGTCCTCCACTACCGGAGCGTCTTCATCGTACTCCTCCTCTGTGCAGGAACGGGGGCGAGAAGCATCTGGAGTGAGCAGCCCTCCCTCCCACACGCAGCACAGACCCCGGGCTGAGGGGTCGGGCACGGTGGCTGTGGTCCTCAGTGCGGGGCCCACGACCCACCCACACCCCCGCAGGCCCGCAGCCAGGGCGCTCTGATGCCATCGGACACATCCTAAAGGAATCCCAGAGTGAGCCCTCCCTCCAAGTTGTACGAAGGGAAGGACCCCTTGTGAGGTGTGAGACTGCAGAGCAACTGCCAAGTCGAGGCCCAAGGGA